AGATCATGACCTGAGCCCAAGTCAGATGCTCAACTGACTGAGCCCCCAAGGCGGCCCTGTTTTTAGACTTTCTACCAACAAGTAACACAGCTCTGTGAGCTCCCAACGCCCAAATACGTGTCTTACCCTCTCAAGTCCCTGCCTCAGGCTCCTGTCCCTGCTGCCGCTCCCCTGCCCTCCCCGCTCCCCTGCTCCCCGCTGGCTCTCCAGCGGCTCACCTTGGTGCTGTGAGCTCTGGGCAGCACGTGACCATCGCCCTGCCCTGTGGATGCCCAGGGTGCCCCTCAAACGCCATTTCCTCAGCCGTCTCCCCTTTCCTAGCTGCTCATGCTAGGGGTGCCCTCCCTGGCCCCCCAGCTCGCCACCCCCCTGTGTGGATGAGCAAGCGTTCAGCCTTCTCTCCCTGGGGGTCCCAGGCCCCGGCTTCTCCTGACCAGGCCTAGCAGCTGCCCCGCCCACCCTGCTGTGGACGAGGCTCCAGTGCCCCAGGTGCAAACTGGGGCACAAACCGGGAGAGATCTGGGCTTCTCCCCCTCCCCCCACGCAACCTCCACGAGCCCACCGGCGAATCCTAGGCTGCACTTCACGCACGCACAGGCCACCCTCCTCGCCTCTGCCCGCACGGTCCTCTCTCCAGGCTGGGGGCACTACTCAGGAGTCCTCCTGCGTGAAGGCTGGTGGCCCTGTGAAGGCCTCGGAGAGCAGATTTACTCTTGCTTGAAACCCTCAGACAGCTTCCTGAGTCACTCAGCTGTCCACTCAGCTCGTTATCTTTGGTGCCCCGTGTGCCAGCCGCCCGGCTCCGGCCGCCCCTGAGGGCCCCTGGTGCTCAGGCTTGGGCTCTGGCCTCCTGTCGCCAGGCCTTTCCCAAGACAAGCTCCACGAGAGGCCCCCCGGAGCAAGGCGCCAGGCGGCAGCCCCTCCTCCGAAGCCGCTCCTCTGCGGTCCCCCACTCTCTCTCACAAGCTCCCTGAGTATCTGGATTGCTGTTGGATGCCGCCGAGAGAGGACAGGGTCCCTGGGGATGGGGAGTTTTGCCTGTTCTGTTCTCTGGCGCACACCGTCCCCAGCCCACTGGCGGACCCAAGGGATGAAGGTCAGAGCAGCACTGTTCGTGGCAGGGACGCTGCTGGGCGCCACGCCCTGGAACCTTCTCTCCCGCACAGCTGACACTTCACGCTCCTCCGTGGCTACTGCCCACCCCCTCTCCCCCTTTCTTTCTTTTAGAGAGATGTTCTTTCTACTCAAGGAACCAAATTACGAAATCAGTGGCATGCAGCCGGTGTTTATATCCCCCAAGCACCTCCTGACCCCCCGCGGACGACGTCCCCCCGAGGCGGAGGACCCGGGGCTCCCTGAGGTGGAACGTCTACCTGAACCCCCCCTTTTTAGTGCACGGGAATCGCATCTTCACATTCAGCCATATTTTCCTCCTTTGCCCCTGAAGGAGGCCGGGAGCTCCGGAGAGGAAATGTCCTTGTACCAGGACCATTTGGCCCAGAAGTTTCCTCTCTAGGAAACCTCCCCCCAGGCAGCCCTGTTTTTAGACATCAGCGGCTGCGAGCCGCTCGTGCCACCGCCTCGGAGGTGAAGAGTGGGGACCCAGAATCGAACGCAGAGCAGCTAGTGGGAGGTCCCTTTATTCACCCCAGACTAGTTTTAGAAGCACTCGCAGCAGAGAACACACACAGCCACCCGCCTGAGGCCACAGAAAGTCACGCGAGCCTGCCGTGCGTCTGTCTGGGGGGCCGACAGCGGCGACCGGGGAAGGATGCGCTGACCTTGCCAGGCTGGACTCCGGCCTGAATTTCGGAGAGCACTGCCAACTGCCCTTGTAAAGCTTTAATTTCTTCTTTCTTTCGTTTTTCCGCTTCTTCTGTAGCCGCTTTCTTCTGTGCCTGATATGAAAATTATTTTTTCGTTAGAACAGCTTTTTAGGATGGTCTCCGAAATCGGGAGGGAATTACGGCATATCAATTACATCTCTTATATGTTAGAACGGTCACTGACAATGTAGTGAGGGTTCAAAGTAAATTCGCCAGATCGGCCTGAAAACATTTACTGGCAGATAAAATCGCCCACGTTCTCTCAGCTGTCGTTGCTCCGAAACTGAGGGTCGCACCGGCAGCAAGTGAAGGGCCTGCACCCGAGCTCAGGGTGCTGGTTTCCTCTACGTGGAGCTCCTCTGTCACTTTGGTTGGGGACCAAATAACCCCTTCGCTACAGGATCAGATCACAGTTTCACACAAACTAGCGTACCTTCGTGTCAGCATCTGTAGGTCTGCCGTCTATTTTAGCAAATCCGTCAAAAATTGTTTTATAGAGAACGTTCTTGCGCGTGGTGTTGTCGTCTGGAGGGAGGTACTCTAGAATAAAAGCCCGGTGCTGTTTATACATGTCCAAAATAATTCTAACCGCTGTCTCTCGAACCTCATACACTCTGTGCTCCAGGGCACTCACTGAAAACTAAAAATAAAGTTGGGAGGGGTTCTTGTGGTTACTGATTCTTATAATAACAGTATTTTTTCCAGCATAAAAGAAATAAAGGCACATGACGAAAATTCAAAAAACAGACCACCACCCACACAATTCCATTATGACAGAGAGTTTCTCACCGTGTGTCTCACACACGTGATTGAACTCTGGTCGTATATGTAACTTTGTTTTACTCTTTTCCACTTAACACACTAACAAGCATTTGTTTAGGTTACAACCTTCCATAAACTTCACGTTAAATATTACAAAATATTCCAATCACGGAGGAGAGCAAAGGTGGTAAATTTTACACATCCACCATCCACATCACCAAAGCTGTAATTCTGCCGTGTCTCTGTGGGACCTCTGTCTTTCAGAAGCAAGGCACCGCGGTGATGGCGTGAGTCTCCAGTGGAAGCCTCCTGGGCCCACTGTCCTCCTGTGCTCCTTGGAGGCGTGGCTCTCCCGAAGCAGGCCTGCAAGCTCCTACCCGTCCACTAGTCCACTAGCATCAGTGTGCGTGTACCATGGTGTGTTTAATGTTTTAAACAGCATTCTGCGCTTATCTTTCTGGAGCTTTCTTTTCCTGCTCGACACTCCTCTGTCAAGGACGCCCATGTGTTTCGGCCGCAGGCACTGTCACGGGGACCTGTGGTGACACGTTCACCCCATCGCAGAATGGTGCTGCCGCGACAGCGGACCGACACCTCCCCGTGGTGGTCTGGGCGCCAGGCTGCTCACTTCCCACGGCGTCAGCCTGGCCACGGGCTCTTTGGTTTTACCCCAGAGCCTGCCTACCCTCCACCGCCCCCCGGAGCGGCTCGCCCCCAGGTCTCCTCCCTTCCCCACTTTCTTGTACTCCCTCCCTGACAGCTCCCCAACCCCACTGGGGCTCCGGTCCATTCCTGCACCCACCACCGTCTCCTCCTGTCTGTCACCTCCCTCCAGCCGTCCCTGCCCTGGGCGTCCAGCCTGGACAGTGCGGTCCATCGCTAGGTCACTTCCAGCATTCACGCACACTCTTCGAATCTGGGACCCCGTCTTCTCCTGCGTAGTCGTGGGCCGCGTGGACTGTGCCTGCAGACTTGAGGCACGTGGTGACTGGCCACCGCAGGTGTCACGGGGACCCCGGTGCACAGGGCACCGACTGAGGCATTTCCAGTCACTTCACCTTCTCAGACGTCCAGGGGGCGTTCCATATTCCTTCTTGTCTCTTGAACCTCTGCCATCGGGTCCGGCTTCCGTGAAGCCCATGTGTTCCCTGCTCCACACACAGCCAGCCCGCTGAGTCTTTACCAGAGTAAAGGGTACTTTGCTCTGTACCCTTTGCAGGGACTTTGCTCCTGCGGTAACTGACCCCTCCTTCCCACTTCTGTTCATTTCTTTCTTCTTTTCCTTCCATCAGGATCACTCCTTCCAGCATTCAGATGGACCCAAATGTGGCTACGGGCTCGACAGGCCAGCCTCCTTCTTCAGTGCACACAGCCGTGGCACCCTACCCAGGTCCTGTGTGTGGGGGCCACTGCGGTCACAGGAAGTGTGGCGGGAGCAGCCTGGCCCATAAGGACACCCTCACCACCCTCTCGTCGCTTCCTTCATTCAGTGACCTCCCAGGTTGTGCGTGAAAGCTGGTGGTGGCGACCCAGGAGGAAGCGGCGGCCCTGAGGGCCTGCGTGGGCCAGAGCGCCGTCTCTCCTCCAGAACCAGGACTGCAGGGGAGAGCCGCGGGCACCGCCCCCGCCAGCTTCCAGAACCGATGCTGACGTTGGCACCGTGGAGCGGGGCGCCCGTAACAGGAATTTAAGTGTGCGGGGCAGGCTCCAGGCTCTGTGCTGGGGAGCACGGAGTGAACGTGGGGGCGAGAAACATGGAGGTCCCCGTGGCCGCGGGGCTGCTGCCACCAGAAGTGGTGGAGGCGGCTGGGTACTGTGTATGGGGGCTACCACCGGCTGCCCCTGGCATTTGTAGAAGAAGAGACAGGAGCTCAGGAGCGACCACTGATGGCCAACAGACTGCAAGTCGAAGCTCCTACGGGAGCCAGGCACGCGGAGTCCACAGAGGAGGGAGAGACGGCACTGAAATCACGCTGCAGACTCTGCCCTCCCGCACCGACAGGAGCGAGTACGGGGCGGCTGCACCGGGCACCATGTGTCCGCGTCCGGCCAACACGCTGGTGGCATGCACGGAGCTTCTGTGCGGGCCATGTGGCACCAGGGACGCGGGGCCTCTGCTGTGGCCGTGTCTCTCCAGCGGCTTCTTAGTTGCACTAGGTTGTCCAGGCACACAAACTCCCTGCACTTCCGTAAACCTGACGTTCTTGCGGACTCGGCACCCGCCTCTCTGTGACCTGTCCACTGCGGCCAAGATCTGTACAGACCAGTTACCAACTCGGGGCACAGCCAACAGCAGGGAGACTTCTGGTGCACTCGTTTGTGACACGAAACAGTGACTGTCTTTCTGAGGTCATGCATTCGTTTGTTCGTTCAACAAGCAGTGACCGGACACCCACCACACCCCAGGCCCACCTCCCGTGCGGAGGCCACGGCAGCACACACACAGGTGCACTTACCTTCATCACGTTATCGACGGTGAAACCCGTGTTCCCGGTGCCCAGGTCTCTCAGGAGCCGGGCCAGGAGGTCCATCTGACTCATTGCCAAATGAGCCGAAGAGTTGGCTTTTAACGGCTGTACCAAGTAAGGTGGGATAATCTGGAGAGACCTAACTTCCTTAAACAAGGCCATTTCCTATAAAAACCAACAGAACTTGTTAATTTTTACTGGAAAACGCTAGAGGCCACTTAGTATAATTTAGCATGATCCTCCAAATATGCTCGTGTTTCTATTCCAGGTGTACTGATTAAAAATAAAACCCTAAAGGAGCCCGTGAGGCTCAGTCGGTTGAGGGTCCGACTCTTGATTTCGGCTCAGGTCGTGATCCCAGGGTCACGGGATTGAGCCCCGTGTCGGGCTCTGTGCTGAGCGTGGAGGCTGTTTAAGATTCCCTCCCAGCCCCTCTGCCCCTCTGCTCCTCTCCCCACTCACACTTGCTCCTTCTCAAAACAAAAACAAAAAACCCTAAAGCATGAGAAATAAAACCATGATCACCCAAAGATAAATGAAAGATTTCCACAAAATGTGATCGAAAACTTAAGATTTCTCTTCTCAGGATTTCCCAACTGTAAGAAAAAGGTTTTCTAATTTCTAAAATTCTCAAAGAAATGAGTGCTGTGCTACTATTTAGGAAACATCAACTGAGAGCACAGCAGTCACAGACGGCTGGTGGACAGGGGCCTTGGGGGGCTCACAGGACAGCACGTAAGTCCACTAGCAACAGACACGTCTTCCTGTAATTAACATGTTTATCACTCAGCAACCAGACACAGAAAGAAAACGACAGGACACTAAAGCATATGGGCCGCAATACGGAAAAAAATCCGTTAACAGTCAGCAGGCCACACCCCCTCAAACAGCCTCTGGCTTTTCCAGAAGTTCCCTTTACATCCGGGCCCCTGAGGGGCTCTGCCCACGATCACAGGTGCGTGGGCGGCCAACCCTGCCCACAGCTCGTTCACGGCTGGCCCTGCGGTCTGCTGCCGGACGAGGGCACCGCACCGCGGCACCTCCAAACTACTCAGAAACCAGAGGTCTTGAAAACGGCTTCATGGAGGAAAGACACGCTCTCATTTTCAACACCCCTTTTGAAAACTGCCATCTCCCCAAACTGAGTCACAAGCGAGAGGGGGTGTCTTGTAGGACTCTGGGGTCACTTTTACCTTATTAGCAGAACTCCCTCCTCCTTTTTCATACTCCACAAACTCAAGTTTGTTGAACAAAACGAGATCGATGGTTCTTCACACTAAAAAGGATCGCTCTGAGAATGCTGTACAGGACTTACGGGGTCCACAGACTTGCTGAAGCCCAAGCATGGACCTCGGGGCAAGAGCTCCCTCGGGATTTCCCACGATGCCTGGCCTGGAGGAGGCTCGTTTGCGGCAAGAACACAACTACTTAGACTGAGGTCATTGCACGTTTATCTCTTTGCCCCCGATTTCCTATTCTGGTTCAGCTTTCCGTCTAGTTTCACTAGAAGTTACTAGCGCGTGTCGACGCAGACAAATACCAGACGAGCCAAACTATACTTTACCGAAGTTTACATCTAAGGCAAAACTCAGCTTTCAGAGCACAAGAGACGCAGGGCAGGGCGTCACGAAGGAGAATGGGTGATGCTCTTTGGGGAGACAGAACCTCGCAAGGCCCAACGGCGGCAGTGACACGCTTCTTTGCCGTTTCAAGTTTCACGGCGGCATCCGTACCTGGATAAAATTGGAAGCTATGACGCGGAGGCGAGCAGAGGAGTCTCCGGTCCTGGTGAGCAGAACGGGAACGGTTCTCTCCACACAGTGGGCCGTTTCGAGCTTACTCAGTTTGTGTTTGGGAATATATTGCGTAATTATCATTTTCAGCAATTTCAAAGAAGCCTGAAAGACCTAAGGAGAAAGTGATAAAAGCCGAGGCGCTCCTCTGACATTTACTGTGAACGATAAACATGAGCATCGTGCTGAACATCACGTGCTGCGGGAAGGGCCGCAGAGGGCGAGCTGAAAACCACTTCCTGAACACGGCGCCTCGAGCTGGGAAGACACGTGCCCGCACCTCACGTGTCAGGAGGCACCTGCTTCGCCCTGGACGCCAAGCACCTGACCTTCCTGCCGGGCCGGGGAAATGCGGACGGCGGTGCCGCTGGGCGAGCTCACTGTCACGGCCCCTGTGGGGTCGGGGGATTCGCTAATGGCCCCGGGCTCCTTGGGCTTGTGAAACATAAAAACGTCAACCGAGTGCCTGCGGGTGGCGGGGAGCCCGGCCTCAGCGAATGCTGCTTTAAAGAGCGCGGCAAAGCTGGTGCCGTTCGAGAGTAGGGCGCGTGGCCGGGCGGAGACGGACTCCGACGCCCTTCGCTGAGCACGCTTCGTGCCACAGAACCTTGATTCCCAGCGACACCCGTGCCCCCTCCTGGGCTACCCCGAGCCCCGGGGGCACCTCACCCGTAGAGCCGGGGCCACTGAGGGGCGGAGGGGACTCACTGGGGTCACGAGGTCTCTGACGGCTCTCCTCACGAGGAAGATGGACGCTCGCAGAACGTTCTTCAGCTCCTCCTTGGGGGCTCCAGTGGGCATCTGCATCAGCTGTTTGCACAGTGCGAGCAGCGCATCTTCCCGGTACGACCACGTCTTGGAATAGGCCCCAGCGACCTACCACAGACCGGAGGCTGCCTTACTCCGTGCAGGCATTTCAGTGATGTCACGCTGCCCCCCAGGACCCTGCGACCCCAGCCTCTGTTTGTTCCGGACGGAGAAAAATCTCTCGTGAGAACAGAATTAATACGTACACTTAAAGAATAATTTCTCTAACGCAGAACACTGAAGGCCCTGCTAAAATACGGAAAGTATCAGAAGTTCCACCAGGAGAAATACTGTGAAGCTGGTGCCCAGGGGCCCGGGGACCAGGGAGAGGCCCACTGGGCTCATTTCAAGAGGAGACTGCTGGGGCGCCTGGGGGGCGCAGTCGGTTAAGCGTCCGACTTCAGCCAGGTCACGATCTCGCGGTCCGTGAGTTTGAGCCCCGCGTCAGGCTCTGGGCTGATGGCTCAGAGCCTGGAGCCTGTTTCCGATTCTGTGTCTCCCTCTCTCTCTGCCCCTCCCCTGTTCATGCTCTGTCTCTCTCTGTCCCCAAAATAAATAAACGTTGAAAAAAAAAAAAAAAAAAAAAAAAAGAGGAGACTGCCGTCCTCTGTTTTGTTTTGCCATCATTCCCCGCCCCCCCCCGCCCCCCGGTTTAGCAGGTGTTCTGGGAGGGGCAGATTTTCAACACGGGCTCTGGCAATACTAGACAGTATCTTCAATACTTGTTCATAAAATCTTAAGTTCTAGCTTATGCATCTGCTGTTTTATATAATTAATAATTATCAGAAGGCTTCAATTGAACAACAAGGACAACAGGAAGCCAAGGACATCTCAGACACAGAGCCGTGGGCGCTTTCCCACCCTCGTCCCTCCCCGTGACCCGTGCCCACCCGCGGGGCCCGCTCGTTACCAGGGCTTCTCCGAGCACGTCCACGGCAGCGCTGGCCTCTCTCAATGCCTTCTCTGTTAAGGGCTCCGGCTCCCCAGTGGCAGCTCCTCTGGGAGCCTCGCTGCTATCCCAGTCACTCTTCTCTGGTTCCAGGGCCGCCACAGGCTGCTTCTGGGTAGCAGGAAGGGGCCGCTCATCGTAGGGCACGGCCTGGAGCTACAGGAGAGGAAGGGCGGCTACAGAGCTCCGGCGGGGCTCCCCTACTGCCAACACCATGTCTACACTGCAGGCTTACTGCTCTGTGCTTACCTGGTCTGAACAACAGTATTTCGCTAAATATCAGTTTCATCAGATTAGGACAACTTACACGATGGTAGGATTTAATAGGAAAAATTAGACAGGGTCTCTATTCCTTTCTAAGTTCACTACAGACCTAACAACAAAGTGGCCCGAATTCTGCGTCAGGTGCTATTCACTGCTGGTAATTACAGTTCACAGGACATGGAACTGACTAGGGTACAAGTCATTGCGTTTTCTTGACAAGACTTCTGTTTTTTTCCATACTTTATGACTTAGAAATAACGATCAGGCCTCATTTTAAACGTGCTTGTCATCCGGCAGACTTCTAGGAAGACAGGCGGCCCAGCCGAGGACCTCAGGGCAGCCTTCTGCTCTTCTTGCTGCTCCGGGCGGGCGCTCAGCCCCACAGGTGTTCGTCGGGCCCCTGGCCCAGGCAGTGGGCGACACGGACTCCCCGCCTCCTGGGGCTTCATCCCCACGCGGAGACTGACACGCAACTCGACAAGTAAGTATGTAGCAGACTTCCAGAAAATTAAGTCAGAGCAGAATTGCTGAGTCATTTCCCGAGGCAGGTGTCACCGGGACACTTCACTCACACTTAATACCCACTGAGACATAAACGGGGGGTACACCGTGTGCGAGAATGAGTTTCTCATCTTCTAAAATCTACTCTGCTGTAAAACACGTTGATGTGGTAACAAAGGGGACGTTAGAGTATCATGTGCCGAGGTATTAAATATGACTTAAAGCAATGAAGTTACAGACAAGATGCTCCTGGGGAGGCAGCCACACCAGTGCCGTCCTCGCTGGCTTTCCTGGGCCTCAGGCTGCAGCAGACCCTCCACGTGCCCGCCTGGCACCCTGCCTCCCCTCCCAGAGGCCACCGGCCACACCGCCTGGCGCACGGACGGGAGCTCTGGTGAGGCCCTCCTCTGGTCCCTGTCACACTTCTGGGCCAGCACGTGACGGATACGTTCAGGTGTGCACGGTCCCTTTGGACGGGACGCCGTGTGCACCTGAAGCCATGTGGCAGGTCCAGCCCCAGGGCGCCTCGGACCCACAGGAAGCAGAGTTGAGACAGGAAGGCAGCGGGCGTCGAGGACACTGCTGAGCTGCTGAATCAAACCAAGCCCGAACCTATGCGGGCCCTCGAGTCCCTCGTTACTGAAGCCAGCAGGCCCCCAGTTTAGCCGGGTTTTCTGTTACCTACAACACAGAAGATTCTGGAAGCACGGTACCTTGCATGTGTACGTGACAAGCACGTGACTCGTCCTGAGGGTCTACCGAAGGCAGCTTATGTTAGGCCGCACAAACACTGTCTCATTTATTCCTGGAAGCAATCCTTCCGGCTGCTGCTTGCGCCTGCTTACAGGTGAAGCACAGGCTCCGGAGGCCAGCGTGTCCCAGGCCGCCTGCGGTGGGAGGCCCGGCCGGTCCAAGTGCACACAGGGCCTCCCCGGAAGGGGTGATTACCTGCAGGCTGCTTAGGCTTCGGCACTTACGTCCCTGTCCTGGAACGCGGGACGGGTGGGGGCTGTGCAGGCATGTGCCCTGATCCCTGCGCTGGGAGAGCCCGGGCACCAACGGGTCCTCACTGCATGTCTCTTGATTGTGCTGCACCCAACGTGAAACTGAGTTACCTACGTGAGTCCTGAAGTGAGGGTCCACGGCGGGCGGGGCCTGGTCCGCTGTGGCGGGCTGAGGAGGGCCCAGGGGACGTGCCGGAGGCTTTTCCTGAAGGAAGGGCTCTGCACGCAGGCTTTCTGGGGCTCTGTCCTCTCGCGGTCGAGAGAGCGCTGGCTGCTGGTGGCGAGGACTGCCAGAGTGCGCCAGGGGCTGCAGGGGCAGGTCAGGAGGCCTTCGCACCTGGGGAGAAACGGGACCCTTCATTCCCGGGGCTGCTGCCGCGCCATTCTGGGGGTGTGGGGGGAGGGCACGACAGCTGAGGAAGGCAGACGGACCGTGTGCACCGACGGTGGCCCCCAGTCCTGTCACCCCATCTGACCCGTCTCTCGACGGCTATGTGTGCTACGGAAGTGGTGGCACGCCAGAGCGCCAGCGTGACCGCGAGCATACAGCCTGGGTCACTGCAGGGCGGAAGTGCGCGTGCACACCTGCCAGCAGAGACGAGGTACGTGGGCAGAGCGCGCCTGGCGAGACCCAAACCCGGCACGGCTGTGCGCTACGCCCTGTGGCTGCAAAAGCGGGTGCCTCTGTGTCATCGTGACATCGGTTAGCTCGCACTGGGCACGGAGGGAAGTGCACCGGACAATCTCCTTTGAGGTACGCCTCGTACATAGGGTAAGGAAATCGAGGAATGGCCCTGAGATCACACCGCCAGCAATGGGGCCGGATCTGAGCCCAGCAGTGCCGCGGCAGGGTGCGCGTTCTCACACGGACTCCGTTGTAGCGGCTCTGGGCCTCAGTTTCCTAGCCTGTGATGTGGGATGGACACCACTGCCCGTGTGGGCTCTAAAGGTCCGAGGTACGGCATCTCCCAGGAGACCGTCTTAACGAGCCGGGGCTGTCGGGACTGTTCACGCTCGATGCTCCCGAGGCCACGAGGCACACGTGAGAAGGGCTGGCAGACGAGGAAACCGGGCTGGGGAGATGCGGGGAGATACGGGCCCCGGCCCGTTCCCCTCCTCCTCCCCCGTGAGTCTCACCGCTCGTGTCCAGCAGCACCTCCCACGGAGGCCGAGGGAGCTGAAGTCACCTATTTTTTCTTTGGATCTTTGAGTTAAGAAAGTTTTTTAAAGTTTTATTTTAGAAAAAGAACACACGTGCGCACACGCACAAGCAGGGGAGAGAGGCAGAGGGAGCGAGAGAACCCTGAGCAGGCTGACACGGGGCTCGAACCCACGACCAGGAGATCGTGACCCGGGCTGAAATCAGGGGTTGGGTGCTCCACTGACTGAGTCCCCGCAGGTGCCCCTGAGGTCACCTATCTGAACTGTGACCTGAGCGCCACAGGGCCACGTGTGTCTCACAAATGCACGCTGTGGGCGAGCGGCCCTTCAGGGCGGCCCGCGCACCTACCAGCTCGGCGTCCACAAGGCTGTGCAGCCGCAGCTGCTCGTACACTTGGCTGCGGAACCGTTCCATCTGCTGCTGCTTCTCCTTGGCGCGGTCGTAGTCCTCCTTCTCCACTGCGCAGCGCTTCTCCACCTCGTACCGCCCGAGGCGCTCGCCCACCTGAAGCACACAGGGTCACTCTGCCTCATGCGGGCCCGCGCGCCTTGGGCACACGCACGGCTTGCCCCACGAGGCTTGGGTGACGGCATCACTCGCGGGGGGGGGCGGGGAGGGGGGTTGGGCTGGGGCCACGGAGCAGCAGCCACGCAGGCCCATGAGGGGCGCTGCGTGTCCCTGCCCCAGCATCTAAGACCCTGCGCGAGTCACAGGGACCATAAACCTCTTGGGTTCCCTGGCACTTCAGGACAGTGACGCGGCCGTGGAGGACGAGGTCTGAAGAGGCGGGGCCTGTGCCTTCACTTACGCTTAACCTAGGGGCTGGACCGTCCCTAACTTCGTTTTGCTTATGTCTTTGGACCCACGCTAAACGTCCACGGGCCTTTGTCGTGCCACGCATCGGGGTCACGGGCGGCCTTCTCACAGAACTGAGGGGGGGCCGCTCTCTCCAGAAGCAGTACCTTTTGCAAATCCGCAATAGCTTGTTTCAGCTTCTTGGCATAGTCGTAACGTTCCTTTTGGACGGCTTCGCGTTTTCTTTCGTCTAATTTACGTATAATCTGGGCAACTTCTGGATCTTGGTACATATCGAAAGCTAAGTCATCTAGTGGAGAAATGTAGTCAGATTTCCTAAAGGAACGAAACGGGTATTTCAGAGTGGACAGGGCAGTGGTGGAGGGAGCCCCGAGGGTCCAGTGCCGAAGACAGGGTTGCAGACACGGCACCCCCACCACTTCTGCTCCTGGAGCCTTCTTGCCTGGGAAAGCAGAGGCTCAGAAAAACTGTGATGGGCTTCAGTCACCCAGCTCTCAGTGCAAGCAGGTCTTTCTGACTCCACAGCTTATGCTCTTGGCCATTAGTTAAACTGTACTTGGGGCGTCTGAGCCTTTGCTGCATTCTTCAACAGGTATTTCTTTTTTTTTTAAATTTTATTCCTTTTTTAACGTTTTATTTACTCTTCAACAGATACTTTGAGTGCAGACTCCGTGCCCAGCTCTGTTCTGGGCACCGGGGACAGGACAGTGCACGTCAATCATCTGAAGGACGGGGAAAACCCGAACTAAAATGAACACATTTCTATGCACCATCCTTAAGGAGTCTGACTTGTGGGGCCAGGAGTCCAGGCGCCCAGCATGCCTGACACCAGCACCACCCTCTGACGGGCGCCATAGATGGAGAAGCACTTTGCCTGGCCTTCTCCTCTAAGTGTCCGTCTGTGGGACATCCCAACTCCTGGGGAGACCAGAAAAATCCTTCCAGGAATAAATGACCTTTTTGGTTATCTGAACACCCCATTTATGATTAACTGTCACCCCACTCTTTCTTTCAAATTCCACAGCAGGCTGGCAGCCTTCTCCTGGGTCTGACATTTAAAACAGCAATGCCAATGTAACCGCTCAACAAAAATGCTGAGGACATGTTTCAGAGTCTCCGTCTGCTGTATGAGCTACACAAAGTAAGCCAGTTGTTGGCTTTGGCTTAGAAATTTTTTTTTTTTTTTT